GAACATGACAAATGAAAAAACAAGAAGGGCTTTGGCATCAAACAAAAATAGATTCAAATTTTAATTTTCTTGGTAGAAGAATGACTTTAGGCAAGTTACTTACTGTTTCATATGTAAAATGTGAATAATGACATCTGCTTTATGAGAATTCAGTGAGTTGATATATATGAAGCATCTAGTTCAGTATCTACAACTAAATTCAAGGTTTTCACCTATTCTTTCTTTTCCTCTCTCCCCTTTCAAGTGAGATAAAATAAAAATTGCAATAAACACATATCATATTGCCATGCATGCAAGTTCTTCCCAAAATGCAGTACAAAATTTAATGCCTAAACATTTATCACTGTTTCTTTAAATTAAAATAAAGCTACACCAACAGATTAAAATATTAAGAATTTTTGGTCAATGTCATTTCTATGGAAATTTTTATAATTAAGTACCTAAGTTCTAAGTTCTTCAAAAGCAAACAAAAATAAACAAGACAGGACACATTCTTACCTTTTATAAAGAAAGCATAAAGAGCTTAATTTTGTTCTAGAACTTAAAATTATTAACTAAATTTATTTAGAGAAGAGGTAGGGAGTTAAATAATGATTCTACAAGTAACTAACAAATGTTGTTAGTGTTCATCCTTTGATATTATTTAGAAGGAAATAAGTTCAATATATTCCTCATATGCCTTTGGTGAACAAGGTCAATGAATTATAGAATAGTAGTGCTTAGAAGAGAACTTCAAATTCTGCAGGTTTTATATCCTATTTTAAAAAGAAAATAAAAACAAAAGTTAAGGTTCAAGATTATTCAGGACTAGAGGCAGAGCTGAAATTCAACCCTTTCTCAGCCTTTTGCTCCTTTGCACTACTTCATGATGCATTTTGGCCAGTATTCACAATCATGGTCATGGAGAACACTGTTCTTTTGGCTATTCTAGCAATGATTAATGGGTTTTGTTTTCTGTGTAGCTTCTGGACACAGTGAAACAAGAGGACATATGAGGTGTTGTCTTGTGTTCTTGTTGCTACCCAGAAAACCTTTTTTTCTTTGAAAGGAATAAAAATATAACTTAAATACAGACCCACTAATAATCTCTGATAAAAGTCTGGGTTACCATCAGGAAAACAAACAGCCTAAGCATTTTACCTGGCATAGTTATAGATAAAGTCCTATTATATTTAAATTGATTTCAGGACCTTCTGAAATTTATATTAGCCAAGGAACAGTTAAGATATTCATACAATCCACCGTAAAGGAGGAAGCAAAGTCAAGCTCCCAAATATAGAAGTAGTATTCATCATTTACCTCTCTTCTATCACCACTAAAAATTTAAGAATCTATGAAAAATGGAAGTTAACATTACACAAAACTATTCTCAACTACAAACCATCTCACAGAAAAATTTCTTCAGAGAGGAATTCTCACCTTTAATTCATAACCAATTCATATATTCCAGTTTTCATGACTTCTAAATAAAATCACTAAACTGTTGTTAGTATGGTCACATATATCCTGATTCCCTCATTCGCTACATACTTTCAGTTCTCAAACTACCTAATCACTCAGCAACATTTGACCCTACTCACCACCTCCTTTTCCTCCTAAAACTCTACTACCATATTAAATGTTCTCACAACTCAGCCAAAAAAAGTAATTAAATGAGGTGATGGATGTATTAGTTAACCTTACTGCGGTAATCATTTTGCCATATATATATATATATATATATATATATATATATATATACACACACACACACACACACACACATACATATGTATATTTATATATATATAATTTGATACATATATGTATGTATATCTTAAATATGCTGTATATCTTAAAATTACCTAGTTATTTGTCAATTACAGCTCAGTAAAGTTGGAAAAAAGAAAATACTGAAATCTCAAAAAAAAAAAAAAAGACCAACCAACCCACAAACAAACAAACACCTCTTTGCTTTCTACCTTTACTTCCATGACACATTCTCATCTAATTCTCTCCTACCTCTTTGGTTATGCCTTCTCATTTTTGCCCCAAGCTGCACTTCTACTCATCCTTCAGTTGTTGGTGGGTCACAGAGCTCACTCCTTATCCCAGTTCTCTTCATTTACTCAAAAATATTTATTGAGCACCCACTCTAGGCCACGAACTCTTCTAGATAATTGTGGCAGCAGTAAACAAATCAGATGAATATCCCTGCTCTCTTGAAGCATACATCATATAATCAGACAAAAACAACAATACATAAGAAAATGATATAATGTTAGAAGGGTATAAGTGGTAAAGAAGACAAATAGAGCAGAATAAAAGGAATCCATTCTAAAACTCTCCTCAGACCACCGTATTAATACATCTGTGACTTTATCACCTATATTTTAACTATTCCCAAGTCTCTATAGATCATGTATTTTTTCTGAGCAGCAATAATCTAAAGAAGTTTCCACAGTTTATCATGCCTCACTCAACTCAACATTCATCTTCCACCATAACTTGTTCCTTCCACCATAACTTGTTTGATAATGGCATCACCATCCACTGGCCCAGCAAAATCAAATACCTAGATGCCTCCTGTCGTCTCTAGATCTTATGGGTCCTGGAATCTTATTTATCTGTATAAATATCTCTAACGTTCTTCTATCCTCACTTCTGCTCCTCTAATTAAAAACCTCAGGAAATAGCAGGATCAACTCTGTTGTCAGATGCCTGGACTGAATAATGGTTCCACCACTTACTTGCCATTTGGTTTTGAATTTAACCTCTATAAGTGCTAGTTTTTCTAGCTGTAAAATGAAGACAACCCTCCTGGGGTTGCTTTGATTAAATGAGTGTGGCTAGAGGTATTAGCATCAAAATCATCAACAGTAGCAGCAGCATGATTAATTCCCAAAATAGCCTCTTAAGTCACTTTTCCTTCTTCTATCCTTACCCTTCTTTAATCTTTCTCAACACTACAGTCCTACTAATCATCAAGATCCAGAGGCCTAAACACAATTACCCTACTAAACAGGTTCTGAAGGCCTTCAGGTAAGTCCAAATGCCTTAACATGTAAGAAATTTTTTTTTCCTCCTTCTTTCCTTTCTGAAACTTAAGCTTGCTAAAGTCGTCATCATTATAGGCAAGCCAGCCTAGAGCTGAAATTTTCTGTGAAAGATATTCAAAATATAAACTTCAGTTTCTTTTTTCAATTTACAGTCTCAGCAGATGATTTTAAAGTTATCACAAAATTGTCTTTTTTTTCCTTCCAAGTACATATTTCATTTTTACAGTCAAAATACTAAATTTTGATTTAATCAATCACGGTGGTATGATGGAATACAAAATAAGCATTGTGAAAACCTTTGCAGCAACAGAAGCCAAACAGATTACTTAAATTATTTTCTTCAGGCTTTTTATCACATTTTCTCTTCCTGTGAAACAAACACAAAACACTACTGATTGACTTCATGGAGTGTTATGCGTGTGTTTGTATGTGTGCGTGCACTGATATGTGTTTGTAGGTGAACAGGCATTTACTAAAAGCATCTTCTTAGATGATAAAAAAAGTCACCATAAAAAATTATGTAATACAGTAAAATGTCAGAAACTGTCATAGTGTTCTAGAAGCTATTTATATGACTATAAACAGCCATTTTAGCCATTAAAAGTGAAAATATTCTATATTCATATTTGACAAGTACTAGTGTAAAAAGAATATAAAATGAAATTTACTAAATACATTTATTAAGGTCGAGCAAATTCACAATTATAGAGCAGGTCATAGTGTAAGAGAATATAACTAAAATCGAGTGTGTTCTTTAAGCTTTATAATTACTGGAAAGCCTTCTGAAACAAATATATTACATTACTTAAGGACTAAGCCATATTTTAAATGTATTTTACTTATTGATCATTATGAAACTTATAGAATTTACATACTTAAAGTGCAACAACTTTAAACAATTGATAAATATAGTTTAGACAATTATGAGAATTAAATTTTAATGATGTCATAATGCAAAAGAAATATTCTGTCCAGCAATTAATTATCAAAAAGCTAATGACCCAGAGCTTAGTATTAAAATTTGGATTTAGTATCATCATATTATATGTTATTATTAATATATATAAATTTAGATAATATAAGTTAAATTATTTTAGCTTTTAGTTTAAAAATACAAATATTTATTTTTATATAAGGCCTCAGATTTTTAAAAAGCCAAAATATTGTATATAATGTATATCCCACTGACATTTACTCAAGAAAGAATTCTGGTAAAATTGTGTATTACCAGAATTTGTTATGAGAGAGAAAATGTATTTTAAAATTTGGTTATTTAACCACCATAATAACATAGTACATATCCCTTACAAAAAATTCTAAAAATGAAAGAGCTTAATTAAAAAATTATAATTTGTTTTACCATTACAATGTTTAATCACATATTTTAAAATTTTTTCATTTTATATCATGAAATTTTTTTTAGTTTATGTGTTCTAAGATAAATAAAAATTAACTAGAAAAAAATCTTAAACTGTGTTTATGATATCCAAGATTGTACAATATAAGTAATAATAAAGAATGAATTTAGCAAGGTAAGGAGATATGCAGTGCATGCTATTAAAGTCTCAGAGTCTAATTACCCATTTAAAACAGTAAATAGAATCCTAATGCTCACTCCCTTAAATATGACCAATTAATACAAAGAATAAAGAAAATTAGGAGTTAAAACAGTACTATCAGTCTTGTTGTGACAGCCAAAAAATGACTTTGCTTGTAAAGCAGTTAAGGTATTCTGAAACTGTCAGGGACGAATTATTAATTGGCTACTTAGTTAGACACAAAAATTTACAAATGATTAATGTCTATTTGATGATACCCCTATATTGTGATGAATCATAGTTAGACATTCATAACATGCTATTCCTTTACCTATCCAACTCTTTCACGAGAACACATGAAATAATGTTATATTCAAGATAGTGTCTGAGGAAGATTACTTATGAAACAAGTGGAAGATTTTACCTGTCCAACCAGGCAAGCAGACTCTTGGCTGCTCCTATCAGATCCACAACCGAAGTCAGAAAGTCATTTGGCAATTTTCGGCTTGTTCTCCCATCATAATGGCCGCTCCTTCTCCTCCCGGTTATAAAATTCTGCAGATTTTTGGCAGATGCATTCAGCTTGTGAGAAAGGGTTTTCAGATTTTCTGTTTCCAAGCCATAATTCTGAATTATAAAAAGAGAGAAAACAAATATACTTGAAGTCAATATATTCATTCACTAAAATATTTACTGAATATGTTACTATGTACAGGCAATAAAATTAGTACTAAGAGTTAAAATGACTAAGATAGGATTCCTGGCCCAGAAGAGCCCACAGTCAAGTGAGGATCAAATGGGCAAATGTCAGATGAACAAATTACAAAAAAATGTGTTAAATGCTAGTGTGAACATGCAAAGAGAAGGGCATTATCTCCTGGAACTATGTCATGCAAGAAAGAAAGATTATTAGGACTCATAAGCATTTCTTTTAAACCCAAACTTAAGTTCATTTACTTGTGAAATTCATTTTTATCAGTACTTATTTTTTTATTAAAAGGTTTTACTTGAGAGAGAAAGAGTGCATGTAAGCATGAGCTGGGGGTGGAGCAGAGGGAAAGGGAGAAGCAGGCTCCCTGCTGAGTGGGAAACCCAGAGGCTCAATCCAAGGACCCCAGTTGGGATCATGACCCCAGCTGAAGGCAGATGCTTAACCGACTGAGCTACCCAGGCACCCCAGTAATTATTTTTTAATATCTATTCTATTAGTATATGCATAGTCATGAATGTAGATGCTATGAAAAATTCTGCTTTCCCCAAGTGAGCAAAGAAAGCACAAACTAACGATAAAATGAAAAAGAAATAAATCATATGCAATATAGCTTTATTTTGTGTCCTCTCCATAATGACACATAAGAAATTTCATCTATAATATGGTACCAGAAGAAAACAAATTCCTCAGTGGAACCAATATGCTTTCTCCTTTTTATAATACAAATTATGAAACTGAATTAATTTTTATTTTTGTCATGGTTGCACTAGCTCACAGTCAAATATGAAGCACATCGAAAACAATCATACTGGCTTTTTGCTAACTTTGTTTTCTTGTTTTTCCTTGGTCTCACTTTTGAATTTGCAGTAATATTTACTATTTCACTTTAAATATTATGTCTATAAATTAATGCAGAAAGAAGTTATATGAATAAATATAAATAAACTTTAAAAAAACACATTCAATGCAAAACACTCTAAGATTTCCACAAATAACCCTTAGGGAAAGATTTCATAAGTTACAATTAAATTTTAAAAGAGCTGATTGTGAGTTGTAAAACACCTCCAAGAAAGGCTGGTTAACCTACTCAAAGGATGACTTTCATTAAACTACTTAGCAGCATATATGTGATAGTCATGTGTAAAATTAAAAGTATTACTACCTTATAGAATATATAAGACCCAAGGAATTTTAGATAGCTTCTGAAGCCCAAATGAATTCTAAGTTTGATTTATCCTCCTTTTACAGTTCAGGACAATGAGGCACAGGGAGATTTTCTGTGCGCTTATAGAGCTTAGAGTAGATAGAATTCAGAATGGGACTACAAGTCACAAGGCCATATGTGAGGGGATGTCTAAGTGAAATGGTAGATAAAATACTAGGGGTATGAAAAAGGGAAGCAAATGGCCCAATAAATTTAGCTGTATTAAGTCAACAACCACTGGGTAACTACTTCATATGAAATTTATTTCTTCTATGGTAATTTAAGAAAAGAAACTTCGAGGAGGAAAAAAGGAGGGACTAGAGGAGGGTTTGGACACAAACATAAAATACCAAGTTACATAAAAACATATATATACATACATATGTATATACATACATACATATATAAATACATATATATACACATACATATATACATATACATATATGAATAAATACCAAAGTTATGTATGTTACCATTGAAGGTCTCATAGTGATAAAAAGTCTGAATGTTCTTTGCTAAAAATTTACATTTTTTATTAAAAGAATATTCCTTTTGGAGCCATGGATCTCTTTTTGTTTTTATTTTATTTATTTATTTATTTTAAAGATTTCATTTATTTATTTGACAGAGATCACAAGTAGACAGAGAGGCAGGCGGTGGGGGGGGAGGTGGGAAGCAGGTTCCCTGCTGAGCAGAGAGCCTGATGTGGGGCTCGATCCCAGGACACCGAGATCATGACCTGAGCCGGAAAGCAGAAGCTTAACCCTCTGAGCCACCCAGGTGCCCCATGGATCTCTTTAAAAACAAACAAACAAACAAAAAAACACAACATAGTATATTAAATACCCACTACGGGGCACCTGGATGGCTCAGTGGGTTAAAGCCTCTGCCTTCGGCTTAGGTCATGATCCCAGGGTCCTGGGATCCAGCCCCGCATGGGGCTCTCTGCTCAGCGGGGAGCCTGCTTCCTCCTCTCTCTCTGCTTGCCTCTCTGCCTACCTGTGATCTCTGTCTGTCAAATAAATAAATAAAATCTTTAAAAAAAATACCCACTACTAAATTTGAATTGCAATATTCTCTCAAGTCAAAAGATTTTCTTTGCACAAATAAAACATTCTATTCAGATTCTCTTGCATCTGAGCATGGATTATCTGAAACATTTGGGAGATTTTATCTACCTTGTCAGTATATTAAGAAGGAAATCCTTTTATAAGTTTATTGAAGATATTCTCTAATGACTAGATAAGAGCAATTTATATCAACTTCTTTATTTATTAATTTGGCTTGAAACAACAAAAATTTATTTTCTCATACTTTAGAGATCAGAATCCAAAATCACTACCACTGGGCTAAAATCACAGTGTTGGCAGATACATGCTTCTTCTGGGAACTCTAATCCTTGCCTCAAAAAGAATCTGGTAGCTGTGGACATTCCTTAATTTGTGGCCATTATAACTCCGGTCTCTGCCTCTGAGGTCACATGGCCACCTCTTCTGTGTGTACCAAATCTCCCTCTGCCTCTCCCTCATGAGGACATTTGTGATTGGATTTGGAGCCCACCTGGGTAATCAAAATTAATCTCCCCCTGTTAAGATCTTCAATTACATCGGAATATGCATGTCACTCACTCGCTGGAGGAAGGGAAAGGCCTTCTCCAAGATCACGAACATGAGCTGGTCCCCTCCAAAGCTCATTCCCAGCTGCCCTTTGGAGACTCTATGAACTAAATTTTAATGACACATCTGAAGTGCTTTCCTGAAACCATTTTCAGAAGTTTTCCCCTGTGTTAAAGCATCTTCCCTGAAGTATAAAAGGATTCTCATTTTTCATTTTTGTGTATTAATGATTTTCATAACAATTTCTTAAAGAAGCTCAAATAATAATATTTCATTAGAGAGGAAACTAATCAATCAACCTGTAATGTAACTTTCATTCTATAGCCATTGGTTGCCATACAACATTAATTTCCTTTATATATAATACTAGCATCTCAATATTTTCTTAGAAAGGGTCAGAATAATGTAAAAAGAATAACAGATCTTATAAATAAAAATATGAAGTCAAAGTAAAACTACTTTGAAGCCTTCAAAATTTAAGATGTTACTAAAACTTTTTTTAAAATACAACTCAAGAATTAGAGAATAAAAAAATCTTGTGGGAGAAAACCTAGAAGGATATCCTGAGAGAACTTCTCCTAAATTGGAAATCTACTAAAGAAATATCCTACATGGACCAGAGGGGAAAGATGAGGAGGACAGAGGAATATAGAGGGCAAGAAGAGACAAAAGATGTGTAGTAGAGGATGGAGAGGAAATTCTTAAAACTAATTCTAGTTAAACCAATAAAAATAAATACAATAAAACTAGTTAGACCAATAACTCAAAAGCATTTTTAAGAAAATTCTCAAGAAAATGGGGTGCCTGGGTGGCTCAGTCAGTTAAGTGGCTGACTCTCGATCTCAGGTCAGGTCTTGATCTCAGGGTTGTGAGTTCACGCCCCACACAGGGACTTAACTTAAAAAAAAAAAAAGGAAGAAAATTCTATAAGACTATAAAAATAGGTTAGAATCTTATCTGTATACAAGTGTCTGTATGGTATTATTTTAACATAAGGGATAGATTAGTTGATCTCAAGTTAATTTTTGTCATCAAAGTTCTCAATTCTAAATAACTCAAAATCAATTACTGACAATATATAGATTTTCTTCCTATTTCCTTCATGAAAGCAGATGATGTGCTGTGTCTCACTAAGTCACCAGTAAATCATGCTCCCGTGCCTCCTACATCAAGAAGTGACAAGTGAATAATGCACTCCTTTGCTTTGGTCCAGAAGTATGCAGACAATAAGTACCGACTCAAATTTTATATTTTAAAAGTTTTAATTTAAATTCCAGTTAGATAACATACAGTGTTATATTAGTTTCAGGCATACAATGTAGTGATTCAACACTTCCATTCATCACCCTGTGATCATCACAACATGTGCACTCCTTAAACCCCATCACCTATTTCACCCATCCTCCCAGCCACCACCCCTCTGGTCACCAACAATTTATTCTCTACAGGTAAGAGTCTTTCTTGGTTTGTCTCTCCTTTCTCTTATTTTTGCCCCTTTGATTGTTTTGTTTCTTAAATTCTACATGTGAGTGAAATCATATGGTATTTGCCTTTATCTGACTTACTCCACTTAGCATAATATACTCTAGTTCATCCACGTTGTTGGGAATGGCAAGATTTCATTCTCTTCCTTATTTTTATTATTTTTTAAAATTTAAATGCAATCAGCCAACATGTAGTGCATCATTAGTTTCAGATGTAGACTGTAATAATTCATCAGTTGCATATAACACCCAGTGCCCACCACATCACATGCCCTCTTTAAAGCCCATCACAAATTATCCCATCCTTTTCCACCTCCCCTCCAGCAACCCTCAGTTTGTTTCCTATATTTAAGAGACTCTTGATGGCTGAGTTAATATCCCATTGTATGTACATAGCACTTCTATATCCATTCATCAGTAGACGGACAATTGGGACTCTTTCATAATTTGGCTATTTAGATAATGTTGACCTTAACATCAGGGTACACGAATCTTTTTGAATTAGTATTTTTGTATTCTTTGGGTAAATACCTAGTAATGTGATTGCTGGATCACAGAACAGTTCTATTTTTAACTTATTTAGGAATCTCTCCACTGTTTTCCAGAGT